GTAAGACCCAGTAAATTCAATGATCAAACAGCCATTACTGACTCTACCAGACACGAGATTCGACAATTTCATTCTTACTGGAACTGACCCGTACAACTCGTCCACCTGGTCGGACCCGATCCGCTTCGATTTCCCAGGTATTGATCCATCGCCATTCTGGGACGATGACGGAACTACTCACTTGACGGCATCTTTCAATGGATCAACGATCTTGCAAGCTCCAATGGACTTTGAGACAGGCGAGATCCTGGGCCCTTTGGTCAGCATCTGGAACGGCACAGGTACGTCGCCCATGAGTAAAACCTCTTGTATACCTGAGACGTTGCCGAGGGTTGTACTCACAATCGTTTTAAGGATTACCGTCACCCGAAGCGCCGCACATCTACAAGAAGGACGGCTGGTACTACCTCTTAACTGCAGAAGGTGGCACTCGGGAACGTCATCGCAGTATCTTTGCCCGGTCTCGTAGTCTATACGGACCGTACGAGGGCGACCCAGCAAATCCCGTGCTGAGTGGATACTTGAGCCAGTCCTACTTCCAGGCAGTAGGTCACTCCGATATATTTCCTGATGCGTCAGGACAGTACTGGGCAATCGCGCTGGCAGTCCGAGCCGGCTACAGCTACAACTTCGACCCCTACAATAGCATCTTCCCGATGGGACGAGAGGCTGTCTTGACCCCTGTCAAGTGGGCTGAGGGTGAATGGCCAACGTATCAGAACGTCTCTGGTGTGATGACAGGCGACTTCACTCTACCCCAAGGCTCGGTGCCTGAAAAAGGCGAGAGTGGTCTGAGCGAAGCGGACGATTTTGTCAATTTTGAACTTGGCAGCAAATTACCAGCCCACGTCTTCCACTGGAGACTACCAGTAGGAGAAACTCGAGGGAATTATGCCATATCGCCTGAAGGCCACAACAACAGTTTGATGTTGCTATCCTCGAAGCTGAACCTCACTGGCTACGACGCAGATTCCACACGCGGGCAGGGTCAGACCTTCGTTGCTAGACGCCAATCTCACACCCGATTCCGCTTCAGCGTGGACGTTGACTGGAGTGGTCTGAAACGTGAACAAGAGGAAGTAGGTGCGAGCGCACTTATGGATCAGGCTCAGCACTTCGACATTAGTGTTGCAATACTCAAGACAAACGGCTCTGGTGACCCCGCCCCTCACATACGCTTCCGTGGCATTAGTACGACCACTTACCGTCTTCCCGAGCGCTTCAAGTATGTCGACGAAGCATTCCCACTGCCAGAGGCCTTCGTAGGTCAGAAAGTCCGCTTGCAAGTCGAAGGCGTCAACACCACGCACTACGCTTTCTCCGCTGGCTTAGGCGGATGCGATGAGGACACGCCTATGGAGGTTTATGGCTACACTAGGGGGTAAGATACTGATGATTGAGAAGCTTGAGCCATGCGAAATAAGCTGACTTCTCTACCCTTAGTAACTACCTCGTACCGTACTATTCTGGCGTGGTGGTGGGAACATATGCAACGTCATCCGGCAAATGGGGCGAAAACGCGTTCAAGGCATACATCTCTCGATGGAGGTACACTGGGCTTGAACAGGCTAGAGAGCTACCAGCCGACCAGCTGCCTGTATATTGGGACTAAGTACAGCCTGTATTGGACACTCTAGTCCGCTTAAACCATCAGCCACATCGATGACTTGGCTTTGCTGCAAGGGTCGAGGGGACAAGTCGTTGCCGATGGTGATGCAATAGTGGACCACACCACTTCACCCACTTGAATTAGCGATTGGCGCTAAACAAGTCCACCCCTTGCGACACCCACCGAACGGCAATACAACCCTTCGAATTATCCATTGGCGCCAATCTAGTCGAGTTCCGCATCGTATCACATACCACTGCTCCAGACTGGTTTCAAGACTTCCGTGGTCTACATGCGGACGTGCGAGTATTGTCAATGAGGAAGGTACGGGAAATGAAGCGGACCCTTCTTTGTAATGAAGGACTGCAATCTAAGTATCGTCGACTTCCCAGCTTCGAGTGGGACACGGTTACCAGAAAGCTCAGAAACGCCCTTCCATGGGCTCCTAGGTAGCCGTGCCCGTCACTTGTTGTCACGATCGATACTTCAGACGTCATTTTCGTCTTTGACTTCAACGTTTGAACACTTCTCACATATGCACTGACACGGACGATTACCATCTTAGCGCTATCCCACACCGCACCTACAACCCCGATAGCATCGCGAGGATCGGAGAGAACGTTAGTCGACCTTGGCGCTATCCCACACCGCACCTACAACCCCGATAGCATCGCGAGGATCGGAGAGAACGTTAGTCGACCTTGGCGCTAACCGCGTCGGCACCATGGATGTGGGGGCATATATCCAGCGAGCCATTCTCAATGACTATTCGGAACTTCAACGCCGACATGTAGCCTCGAAAGTCACCCGCAGTGGTAACACAGCAGACCCCGAAGCAACCGCAATCGTGCAACAGACTGCTCTTCTTGGTCGCGTCCGCTCTAATGTCTGGAGGGGTGCAGAGGATGGTAAACGAGAGCAGGTGCTTAGAGCTCGCGAGGAGTTGGGGCAGCTGTACATCAAGACCTTTCGAGATCCCGAGGGCTTAGACGCCGCCGTCGACCTCGTAAAACGCAACCGTATCGCTGAGCTGGAAGGCCACCTGGAGAACTCGCAGATGCAGCACCGGAAGGCCATGGACACAGCCGCTGCAACATTCATCGACAGGGAAACTGCGTTGAAGCGAGAGCATGAGGATAAGTTGTCGGCTCTGCGAGCAGAGAACGAACGCGAGCTTGAGACCTTCCAAGATCAGCACCAGATGGCTCTCGATCAGGCCAGCAATGAAATACTGAGCTTGAAAGAGGCTAGCTCCGCAACCATAATGGAACTCTGGGAGGAGCAGATGAAGAGAGCACGTCTCTTGCTTAAGCAGAATGACTCACCTGACTTCATCAAGACCTGTCATGCCGCAGCTCTCAGGCAAGCGGATCGGAGGATTGCAGAATTCAAGAACCAGACGAATGATCTGCTGGTGCAACCGTCAACGTGTTCAACTGCCGAAGCTGTTGCGAAGTTGCAGCAAGACCTTTACCGCACGCGATTCCAAGTCAAGCTGCACAAGAACATGAAGAAGCTGGTTGGAGAAGATGTTGGAGCAGGATTGCGAGCCCAGTGCGGAGACTAGATCTTTTCCAAAGAAGCGGGCGGCAGACATGAGCAACGCCTAGCCGTCCAGGGTCGCTCACCGTCCTCGCAACGGAGTGCAATGAGAGACATGAATGGAGTATATTTAAAAGGATGGTTGGGAGTTATGCGAACTCGCTCCAAGGAGCTAGCTCCAGCATTCGCTGACATATAGCTTTTACGGATGGCGAAGACTCTGCTCATGGTGTGGACTTAATTAGCTCTAACGTCGTTACCGTTCTTTTCCCCATCACTTCGATCTCCAAGTTGGATGAGCATGAAGCGTGCCGGCGGAAGAGGGCGAGCAAAGATAAGCGGACTTCGTCGCCCGACGTCTAAGTAAGGCGACTGGAAATGATAGTATGGAAAACGAAAGGGCTAAGTGAGTAACAAGTGGTACGTTTCTAGTTAGCGACCACGTGCAGAAACCGGCGTCTCGCCACCGCCAAACCGCGCAAAAGCTCCTGCCCTCGGCTGAAGCAGTCCAATATACTGACTGTAGCCTGGAAATCATGCCAGCCGCTCACTCGTCGTCAAGCTCCAGCAACGCCCGCTTCACCCTGATCTCGTCGAGGTCCAGCTGCAACTTCGCCCGCTTCGTGGCCTTGACCGCGTCCTCTGTAGTCAATTAGTGGACATCCCAGCTACGCCAAATTTGGCTCGAGCCTCTTCACTGGGGTTGAACTTACCAACAACATACTCATACCTCACGGGGACCCCCGCAACAGCCATCGCCGTCTCCTCCTCAACCTTCACCGTCACACCCGGCAACTCCCAACCCGTCTCCTTCTTCCACGCCCGCAAAACCCACTCCCCAAACTTCACCTCCGCCATCTTCATGTCTCCATCAAAGTACGTGAACCCTTCATTGCCCTTGAAATGCGTCTCAAAATTCAACACATCGTCTGCCCATTGTACCCTGTATCCCGCGAGCCCAAGACGAGTGACATCGATTCGGACATCGCGACCACTTCTGTCCGCCAAGATAACACCAAACGCCCGCAAACCTTCCGTCGTCATTGCAGGGTAGATGAATAGCGGCAGTGCGGCTGTTGCGCCGAATTGGGGAATAGACCACACGGTAGCGATACGTACTGCTTTGAGATCTCCCGATATGGTTCTGACGTCTAGTCTGGGGAGGATGTTGTCGGATCCGTTCTGGACGGCTTGTAGTATCTCGGTCGTGCTGATTGGCGCCATGCTGGTGTAGTGAGTTTGCGATCGATATTGAGTGTTCGCTGTGCGTGGAATGTTGACAAGCGCCGTAGCAGCTATGGATGAGAATTCCGTCTGCGTGGGGCTCGTCCGGCCATGGTGCATATGCCAAGAAGTGAAGGGCCACCAAAGAGGAAGGAGCGATCTCGTGGGTGCCATTTGGTGTCCATGCTGTTGCATAGCCTTTGCAGGTCGCGAGGGCACTCGAGAGTAGCGGAGATGCTGACATTCCTAGGTGTGCTCGGCACGATCTCGCCAGCTTGATTTTGTGTTGATGCTGCTGCATTCGCTTTGCAAGTCGTAACGGCACTCGACAGTAGCGGAGATGTTGACGTTACTGATTGTGCTCGGAGTGTGCTGTTGAAAGCGCAAGTGAAGGGGAGCAAAAGCTTGGCCCAACTCTGTTAGCCTGATGTTCGAACAGCCAACGCAAAAACGCTAAAAACAATGCGTAGCCCTGTCGATTCGCTCCTCTCGGGTACGCTGGGATCGACCGCAAAGCCCAACAAGTCTGACGTTTCACAGGTGCGGTCTTCGATTGAGAAGTGGGAGCTCTGTCAAGTGTCAGTCAATGAAGCTGGTGAGTGAACCGTAAAGGTCAAATTGTGTGTATCTCGACTCGGAATCGAACCGAGGGTTCACAGGGCATGATCGGTTGTCCATAAGAACGTTTCAATCATTAAGCTGTGCGTTTTGACCACTGAACTATCGAGATGGATAGTGACGGTAATGTGGGGGTTACTCACACCCAGATATTTACGATCTCCTGCTGTCTGTAACTGCACGATGTCCAAGTGGTGAAGTTGAAGGTAGGTAACATATAGCTCGTAGGTGGGGGCCGGAGTGTTGCCGTTGAGGATGTTTGCATGAGCCCCCGTGGTGGTCCTGGAAGTGATATAACATCGTGGTCTAGCACTTCAGCATCTTGCACCGGTTGGTGAGGAAGGTCAGGGGGATGTCAGAGCTGTCCGCATTGTCACCAGGTTGCATCGAGTTGGTGTTATATGAGCAATCATCGTGTGCCAACCATGAAACGATTGTTGAGTGGGTATGAGTGTTTGCAGCACCAGCGATCAGCATCATTGTTCTGCGGTGGACATTTCACCATCGAGCGTACTGAGAAGGTCACTTCCGTTGTGACTCTTGACGTAGTACAATCTTGACATTCCGCAGCGCTCAGCTACCGACGCAAGAAACGTCTCACCGTCAACTTCTCAAGCGCATCTCGGTCACTGCAATGGTACAATCTTGACTCCACCCGACGCTCCCCTTCTACTTCGACTCGATGCGCTTCCGCTTCCTGAACGCTCGCAGCTTATTCTCAAGGCGGACCTTCTTCTCCTCAACGAGAATTTCCTTCAACTGACCCTCCAGATCCTCCTCATCTTCGTCCAGCTCTGCCACGTGAGCAGCAGAACGACCAGCAGCCGAGTGATCCGCTCGTGGTGTCTCCTTCTCCTTCTCGACCTTGACCAACACACTCTCCTCATCTCCATCCATCGTCAAGTCGATAGAAGTCCTCTCCAAGGCCGACGGCAATTGAGCGCCTCCCAGGATTTCCTGCTCGGCATGCTCCACGGCCATGCCTTTCGTCGGCAACGCCGAACGAGTCTTGCGCCGCTTACTCGCCGACTTGGCTCTGACAGGAAGGTCCGTACCCTTGCGAAAGTCACCAACTTCATCTTCTCCAGCACTCCACTCACCGTCAAACTCCTCCATGCCCTCCCACACCCTCTTCACAGGAACCCGCTTGGGCAGTAGCACATCCCTCGGCACCTGTCTCCTCTCACCACCGTCATCTCCGACGCGCTGCACAATCTCCGGCTTCACCTTCTCCTCCTCCGCAGCCTTGACAGTAACCCACTTATTCGGCACCAAAGCCCACGGCACCTGTCCACGATCAACCACATATCCCGGCATCTCAAGCCCCGTATTCTTCTTCCACACCTCGAGCACCCACTCCTCATGCGCGACCTCCGCTTCGCGCGTATCACCAAAACACTTCAGCCCCTCGTCACTCAAGAAATGCTTGGTGTAGTCCAACTGGTCATCACTCCACTTGATGCACATCTGATGCCGCTTGATACGCCTCTCCTTCCGCATCCCGTCGACCTCCTTGAGGTAGAACGCGTAAGCCATATGCTTGCCTTGCTTCAACACGGGATACATGTAAACTGGGACATCGTCCCCTGTATCGGGAAGCTCGAAGGTGCCGATGCTCATGCCCTGTGAGCCGTTGGCTCTGGGAATGGTCTGTAGTGTGGGTACGAAGCTTTGGTCGGCGCTCGTTACTGCTTTGAGCAACTCGGCTGTGGTGGTAGAAGACATCGCGGTGTGATGCTGTCAGGATACTTTAGTCAGTAATGGAGAACGGTGCGGTGCATCCTCTTCACTCACAAGCTTATGAGCTCGATCGCGTGATTGCGCACCAGCTATCAGTTGTGAGCATGTGCTGTGGTAGCTGCGGTTATTTCGTGACGCGGTGTAAGCGCGTTCGCGAGAAATGAAAACAGACGGTTGATTGCTGCTCAGTAAGCTGGGCCTTCACATTCACACCAAAGTCTTGGCGGCAGCCTGGGCACGTGTCTTCTCATGCATCTTTACTAAGACCGCCAGACACCTTTTCACCCAGACTCTCACATCAACGATCGGGTCGCTGTAGTGAACGGTATGACCTGCAGGAGCGGCAAGAGAGGTGACATGATGATCTCCACGCAGAGCCAGAGCCAGAACCGGAGCCGAGTTACCTCGGGGGGTGCCTGTGGCCAACACATGTCAAAAGTCCACCAGCCATGTCTATCCTGTCGAGATCCAGCACGGTCGTGTGAATATCACCCAGATTGGTGCCTCATCTGATCAATCAAACAAGTATGAGTGACCTCAGCACCGGGCCTGTAGGAAGTTCTGTCGATACGAGAAACGCAATATACAGAGTAGAGTGCCCCCCACCCAGCACAACACCATCGCTAACCCACAGCATCTTGACAAAACAAAGAATAACAAGCAATGCATTTCTCACCAACCTCCCGCCCTCCCTCAAAACTCCCCCCTCCCCCTGCCCTCCCCACCCCCTCCCAACGCCCCCGCCCCCCACACCCCAACCAAACCCCAAAACCCCACCTTCCACCCTCTCACAAGCCCGCTAAAACCCTGCCCTCTTCGGATCCTCACCATACCCGTTTTCAAATCTTTGCTCCGTCGTTCGCCTTCAGAGTAGATGATACTGTACACCGTCCCCATGACCCCTGAGTAAGGCGCAGCCTCAACAATCAAAGCCACCTCAGGCTGCGCAGCAAGAATACTGGAGACCTGTGCCCTCCTCACCACGGTTTCGAGAGGGAGGCGCAGGAACAGATCAACCAAACACGTCACAAACCCCACTCCTCCCCACAACCCCGGGGAGGACTCGGGGCTTATCCCAGCATTCCTCCTCAGTAACAGTGGACACGCCGCGGAGAAGATCTGCGGGATAGTGTGCGCCAACGCCGTCGGCAACCACAAGATCGAGGGGGCGATAAGCGAAGGCATAGCCCTCAGATTCTGCACCAATCCCCTGTTTGGTTGAGATAGAGGTGTGATGATTAGTCGTGTCCGGATGAGATCGAGAGGCGCGAGGAGTAAACCCGCGAGAGCAGACGCCAGTCCCACGGCTAGGAGGCTGGAAAGAGGGGACGGGGAGTCGGAGAGATCTAGCCCTGCGAAGGATACTGCACTTGAGGCTAGGCTCGCTCCGCTGCTTTGGTCCGGGCTGGCTATATCCGGTAGTCCCATGACGGCTAGCAGGAGCGAGCGTATGAAGGTATCCGTTGAGCGCAGCAGGAAGGAGTAAAGAAATGTAGTATTTGTTCCTCGCCAGAGACCCAGGGCGCCGGAAGTCGTGTAGAGGGTACTCAGGGCGCTGGTGATGCTGGAGGGGTTTTTGAGGCGGAGTTTGTATTCTGCGAGGCGGTTCCCGGGGGTGGGGGTAGGTGAAGCTGATTGCGATGGGGGTGTTCGGCGGCGTTTTCGGGGGGAGCGGGAGCGCGGGGCTGTGGTGGAGAAGTAGTCGGGGATCTCGTCGTCGTTGTCGGAGGAGGAGGGGGAATTGGATGGGGAGATGGAGGAGGTAGAGTCGCGTAGTCTGCTGGTACTACTTCGTAATTCTGATTCTCGTCGCCGTGGGTCTATTCTCCTTCTTTGCGTAGCCCCAGTTGTGATCTCTGGCTGCGAGGGCAGGGAAACCTGCAGTACCGTCTTCGCGACATCGAATGGTTGTGCCAGCAACACAGACGTGTATCTGTAGACTAGCGTATCCAGCAGACTGCGCGTATTCTGCCATGCTTCGCCTGCTGAGGTTTTGAGGTCGATGTCCAGTTCCGGGAGTAAGTCGCGGGCTGTAGACGAGATTGAAGCTGCGGAGCCCGAGGTGGGTCTTCCGGTGTGTGGTTGGATTGGGGAGGTTGAGGCGGAGGGTGGTGGGCCGATGGTGGGGGCGCGGTAGTAGGCGCTGTAGGGGCGGAGGGGGTTGGGTTCGCGCGAGGGCGGGAGGGGGAAGGAGGGCGGTTTGTCCATTGCTTTCGTTAGTCAAAGTAGAGTAGGATGTGGTTGTGGTTGTAGGTAGGGTTGTAGTGGTGGTGGTGCGGAGTTTCGAGCTGCACCTCCGTCTTCACTTTCGTCATTTCGCGTAGAGAGATTTATTACATAGTCACCGATACATACGTACAAACGACACCGACCATGGCGCAACGGCAATGCATACGCTCCCTCACATCCTCAGCAGCAACATGCTGGCGAACAGCAGCAGCACGAGACGAAGCCTCTCGCGTACACAATCAAATCCACCAACATAAACGACACCTCAACACCACCTCCCGACAAACGATAACGATACCAACAACACGACGACTGCTCCAGAGACAATCCATACCATCTCGACCCTTCTCAACCACGCCCTCCCCCCAGCACAACGACTTGATCCCCCCGAAACCCGGCCAAGAACGCCACATAACCTTCATAGACAAAGAACTCAACTCCCACACCTTCACCGTAGGCGACGGCGACAATCTCCTCGACATCGCACAAGCCAACGACCTCGAAATGGAAGGAGCTTGTGGCGGGAGTTGTGCATGCAGTACGTGTCATGTTATCGTGGAATCGGAAGCTATGTTTGATAAGATGGAGGAGCCGAGCGATGACGAGAATGATATGTTGGATTTGGCGTTTGGGTTGACGGAGACGAGTCGGTTGGGGTGTCAGGTGCTGATGCGGAAGGAGTTGGATGGGGTGGTGGTGAGTTTGTGTGATGTTTCTTGTGAAGGGCGTGGAGACATGATGGAGGGCGGAGGTTTCGATTGGAGATGTGACGATGAGGCTAATGCGATTTTGTGGTCTAGGTCAAATTACCGTCCATGACGCGAAACATGCAGGCGAGCGATTTCGCGGAGAAGGAGAAGAAGGCATAAGGTAGTATCCCGCCACTACCCTCGCAAACTCTTACCGTGTGTATAACAAGTCTCTGCATAGCGTGGATGTTCTCTGGACATAAATTGTACACATAACTCTTCTCCCAGTCCCCCCTACTACCTACACGGCCTCGAAACAGCAACGCTAATTCCGAGTTTTGATTGTTTAACCTCTCACTAATGGCAATCACCTCAACCTGCATGGGACGCTATATGTCGGGCGGTGCTGGCATTTGTGCAAGCTGAAGACGATTATCGAGAGTACCCATGCACC